CATTACGTTATTTCAGCGGCTTATTGATTTGAATATACAGAATATATTAATGTATGTAATGGAATAGGACCCTTTACTGTCAGACGGACACAGTTTATTAAATATAGGTGCTTCCGTCCCACCTGAACCGATTCAACAAACCGAACGTGAAACACAAAATATACATTGGCAAAATGATAAACTTACACAATACCGTAATAACATAGACTTGAAACGCTTACAGTGGAAAAATTGAGAAATTATTAAGAGTAGATAGATTTCGTAAGCATGACGTCTATTAGAAAGTTTCATGCATAAAGTAATATTCTAAATGAACAAAAAAGTTTTACTCTTTTCTAGTAACTGTAGCACAAAAGCGCTGAAAATTGTTTCCTTGAACGGCTTTCAGCGTTATTCATTCTTGCCGATGAATGGCTGTCGATGTTATCATTAAAAAGAGGCTAATGGCTGATGACGTTACTAACATTTTGATGACACTCCAACTTAAATACCATATAACTTTAACAGAAAAGCATTTTTGAAGATATGGTTTGGAATATTTAATGACGAAATGTTGACGTTTATGAATCGTATGATAAAAGGATTTTCGTGACTTAAAAATAAAAATGCCGCTTCTCATTGGATAGTGTGGTTATTTTCAGTCAAAATTCACGTGAAGTAAAGCTAGCACTGGGCCAGAAATTTGTTAGTATGCTCCTTTGGATGTTGACTATGAATCCATAACATTGATTTACTCAACACAGTTGGGAAATGTTAAAAAAAGATGAATACTTACCGTCCGTCAATTGTGTTTCGTGCGCCGACATGTATATACTGGTACAGCTGTCAACGTTTGAACTGTTGTCCGCCCATTTGATTGTACGGTGTGATATTTTTACCCCTCATTCTATAATCATAAGAAAAAAAATTGTTTTGCGCATTTATACATTTTTCTGCTGAATCTGATAAAATAAATGGGACTAGTCTTTGGCTAAAGTTGTTAAATTCTACCATCAATGGTAAAGTTCTAAAAGTCATTCAAAATAATAATGTATAGTAACATTAAATCTTGTGTTTCCCTTAATGGTGATTATTCCCCCTTTTTTGCATGCATGAATGGAGTCTGTCAAGGTGAGAATCTGTCACCTCTTTTGTCCGCTCTTTTTCTTAACGATTTACTACGGAATACCGTTAGGGCCATCGTGGTTATACGTTAAAATACAGAGGGCGACAATGCGATAGTACGACAGTGTGATGACGAGAATGCGACGGTTCGATGACGAGAATGCGACAGTGCGATGACGAGAATGCGACAGGGCGATGGCGACAATGCGATAACGCGATTGTACGATGACGACAGAGCGATAGTGTTATCGCACTGTCGCCATCGCACTGTCGCATTGTCGTTATCGCACTGTCGTACTGTCGTCATCGCATTGTCGCACTGTCGCCATCGGTATAGAATATGGGATAATTTTACTTTTGTCAATATTTTTTTTTCTTCTTGTTTTTCCTTTCTCTTTTTATAATTTATTTGTTTGTTTTTTCTGTATACTAATAATGTTTAAATGAAATCATAAATTAATAATAATATATACTGAAAGAGTTATACATAGACGGGAAATGTAATAAATTGTGTGAAACTTTAATATACAATGTAATAGAAATATTTCAGATGAAAATGATCTTATGTTGACATTTAAAAGATGCAAAAAAATTAAAAATCATTGTTTATTACTTGTATAAAAAAGACAAACAACATATATTCATAGATCGTCATCAGTGGTTTTATTGTTTTGTAAGATGTATAATTTATTATATTACTAACATTGTAAATAAAGATACATGTAATTAGAAATTTACGCCAACACATACTTTTTTCTATATATCAAACATAAGTGGTCAACAATTTTCACTTTAAGATTAACTTAACAGCACATCCTACTACAATGTATAAGTTAATCTGGTCAGCATATTGTACTAGAGCCAACTGATTCCGCTGGTGGACATAGTGAGACAATGTGTTTCAATGTTGAAAAACACATCTATCCATTATATTTAATCCGAAAAAATTCATACTGTTATTTTTGTTGTATTTTGTTGTTGTTTTTTAAAGGAAACATGCAAAATTCGAATTTCCAACTACCTGCCGGTAGCTAGTGGGGGATTAAGAATAACCAGCTACCAGCTAGTAGGTAGTAGGTTATTCGAATATCCAACCAAATTGACGATTCTTTAGATTTGTATCAATATTATATCTAAGATCGAGCCATTTTGGTGCTTGGTGAACATAGCGCTTTTATATTTCTTAGAGATAGTAGACCTAAATGAATATGATTAAATAAAAAAAAGAAATATAAAAGATATACTAGATTTCTGTGTCCACTTTTTTACATATAGTCAAAGTGAGTTTAGCTCAACCTTGAGAAACTGCTTATGTACAGAGGAAAATGATATTTACAGTGAAGTTTTAATTTATTTTGCAATGTTAGTAAACATTGGTTTATGCCATATTTTCTTCTTATACTATATGGTCAGCAGACTTAACGTACGGTTCTTTAGATACCCTTGTATATTAGAATCTGCTGACCAGTTAACCCATTCCCGCATAAGTGTTTTAAAAAATTGCTGTTTTCATTGACCCCCCCCCCCTGTTACACAAGTTCAAATTGCAATGAAACTATAATGTCGGTAGTTCTACTCAGGTGCCCGTTTGTGCCTAAAATAATGCACGGAAGGGCATTTGAGGTCTTCCTCCACCAGTAAAGCTGGATCGCCGCCATATGAGATATACTGGGTAGGTGTGACGTAAAACCCAATCAATCAATCAATCAACTATGAAACTAGAAAAAAATGCTTTAATACTGATCAAACTTGGAACAAATGTTTACTGAGCCATAGCTGGTAGTCGGTTATTCTTAATCGCCAACTACCTACCGGCAGGTCAAATTCGAAATTTGCATGTTTCCCTTAAAAAAAACAAAAAACAAAAAAAAACAAAAAAAACAAAAATAATCAGTGAGATTTGTTCCGAATTAAATATAATGGGTATATGTGTTTTTCAACATTGAAACACATTGTCTCACTATGTCCACCAGCGGAATCAGTTGGCTATAGTACAATATACTGACCAATTAAACTTATAGTAGGATCTGCTGTTAAGTAAATCTTAAAGTGAAAATTGTTGACCACTTGTGTTAGGTATATAGAAAAAAATATGTGTTGACATAAATTTCTAATTACATGTATCTTTATTTTCAATGTTAGTAATATAATAAAAATTAATTATAAATAAATTATACATCCTACACAACAATAAAACCACTGATGACGAATTCAATGGAATTATCAATATTATTTGTTTGTCTTTTTTATACAAGTAATAAACAATTATTTTTATTTATTTTTTTCATTTTTTTAATGTCAACATAAGATCATTTTCATCTGAAATATTTCAATAGATTGTAGATTAAAGTTTCACACAATTTATTACATTTTCCGTCTATGTATAACTCTTTCAGTATTTATATATAAAATGTTTCTTATTATTAATTTATAATTTTAATTTAACATTATTAGTATTCAGAAAAGAAAGAAACAAAAGAAAAGGAAAAGAAAAAAACATGAAGAAAAAGATTTATTGACAAAAGTAAATTTATCCCATTGTCTATACCGTCAGCTTATTCGCCAGCAGTTTAGAACCGTCCAGCAGAAGGCGAGAGTCGACAATGCGATAACGCGATGACGACAGTGCAACAGTGCGATGACTACAGTACGACAATGCGACAGTGCGATGACGACAATGCGACAGTGCGATGGCGACAGTGCGATAACACTATCGCTCTGTCGTCATCGTACTATCGCGTTATCGCATTGTCGCCATCGCACTGTCGCATTCTCTTCATCGCCCTGTCGCATTGTCGTCATCGCACTATCGCATTGTCGCCCTCTGTATTTTAACGTATAACCACGATGGCCCTAACGGTATTCCGTAATTTACAGACATGTTTACGGTGTCACAAAGGTGATATGTGTGTGTTTATATTTATCTCGTGGCCACGAGATACTATGTCGTGGCCACGAGATAACTAAGTCGTGGCAACGAGATAACTAAGTCGTGGCCACGAGATACTATGTCGTGGCCACGAGTTACTATATCGTGGCCACGAGTTACTAAATAATCAATCAGACAACACCATTTATATGAATTTCCCTAATTAACTAGATTTGTGTTTAGTACATGGATGTACCTACTTCACCAGTCTGTTAAAGTGCCATTTATACAACTTATTGACTGGTCAATAATTTTCCATTTATCGTCACTATGTGACCCTGATGTTTGACCCAATGACCTCAAAATTATAAGATGTCATCTACTGATCAGGTGCAATGATCTTCCTGGATTAGTTTGTTCACGTTTACACACTTTTCCCCTGAAAACATGTTCATGACATTGCATATATCAGCCACCGTAGATGGTAGAAAAGGACAGTTTTTAAACGTTAGCTTTTTCTATTTATAGTTTAATGTAAATTACATTTTATCCAGTGCGAAAATAATTCTTGAGAAGATGCAGATAAAGTCAAGTGCAAAGCTACCAAAATAATTTTAATTTGTAAAAGATTTAAAAGATAAAAACATCAGCAAATAAGATTCTCAATGAAGTGATATTTTTTAAGACATTTTAATTGAAATTAAGCTAAATATTTATCTATGATGTGTTCGTCTGCTATGAAAAACTAACAGACCAATAAGATTTGTAGCGTCTTTTGTTTGTCTATTTCCAAGTATTTTGGGGAATTATCAGAAAATGATTTTTTTTTAAATTTTATTTTATTCCTGAATGACTTCGTTTTCACTTTTCTTTTTGTTAAACATGACAAAATTCTTTCACATGTTGCAATAAAGAAGCATTGCTGCCTGCTTGTCGAGTGTCTTTTCTTGTATTTTCATTGAAACCCCAAAATTTGAATATGTATAGGTTACTATAAGCTATAATATGTCAATTATTTTTATTTCAGAACTAAAGGATGAACTCATTACATGGTACAACACCAATCACAGTACAGTTCCTCTTTCACCACTCACAGATGATCCCCATACCCCTCTAGCTGGGTTCTACATTATGCCAGAAATTGACATACAGACGAATCTACCAGGTGGTAGGAAAGAAAGAACTAGAGTCAAGTCGTTACAGGACCTGTTTACATCTGGTAGAAAAGTTCCCCAGGAAATATATTTATCAGCGGTCGCTGGATTTGGGAAAACAGCATTTTCAAAATATCTCGCTATAACATGGTGTCAAGGTCATAAAATGGATGAAAATTATAACCATTTTAAAAAAGAAGAATTGGAGGCGATATCTGGCTTTGAGTTTTTATTTCTAGTGCTATTGAGAGACTCAGATACAGAATGTGATGTTGACAACATGATTGAACAACAAATCATAAATAATCTTCGTTGTAAATCTGAAATACCAAAAACTCTTTTAAATGACATTTTACGCAATGAAAAATGTCTTGTTATACTAGATGGACTTGATGAATGGTTTCATCCTGACAACGAATGTACAAGACTTCCTAAAAGTATTCCACATCGATATGCACGTGAAAAGTGTGTAATCTTGACAACGACCCGGCCATGGAAGCTTGGAGTCTCAAACTTAAATACAAGTCAAATGGACAAAACAGTAGAGCTAGTTGAACTAAATGCAGCTGATACATGGCAGTTTAAGCTTAACACAATGAAAATATTGATAGGCAACATTGAAGATGATAAACTGACAAATGATGTGTGTAGATTTGAAGAAGAAATCAGTAATCATGACCTTGACGAAATGGAATCCACCCCTCTTCTGTTACTCTATCTTATATGCTTATGGGTTGAAAAAATTCCAATAGGAAATTCAACAGTAGAATTATATACAGGCATTATTCAGCTCCTTCTATCTAGAACAGAAAAGTTACATGGAAAATTTCATTCATCATGTAATACATATCCGAGTAATGTTCCCGCATGTTTTAGAAGACATCAACATTTCTATTGTTACTACACGTTTCTGGTGACCATTGGGAAACTAGCTTTTAATACATTATTCAGTAAGAAAAAAGAGCACACATTAGTTTTTGATGAAAATGTTGCAGAAAAATATCTTGACCAAGAAGATTTGAAATCAAGCTGTCTATCAGGAATATTATCAGAAAGTAAAGTAAAAACATTAATAAATATAAGTTCTAAAATCTCATTTTCACATAAAACAGTGCAGGAATACTTTTCAGCAATATTTATAAGTTTTCAAAATACAAGTGAAGTTCAAAAAATCATTTTTGAAGAGTGCAACTGTTTACAAAATATTCTAGACATGTCAAAAGTGTTTGTCTTTATTAGTAACATGAACCCTAAATTAATGTCTACAATATCAAGTGATTTGATGCCTGTGATAAACAATGATGAAAAAACAAGCAAATACAGAACTTTGACAGGTTATGATTACATGTACATTGATCCATTACAAGACACACAAGACATGTACATTTCTTGTGCCAAAGAAAGCCAGGAAAACAAAGACCTCAAATTGTGTTTACAAGATTTCTTCATTAATGAAAAATGTAAACAAGAAAACTACTTCAAACAATTACAACATCTGTGTCAACAAAATAAAGAAAACATAAAATCAATAATGATAGAAAATGAAGGTATTTGTAGTCTACAAGAAATTATCAATTTGTTTACACTCTCTGACCTTCCACATATAGAGAAATTATACTATCAAGGTGAAATTGTAGAAGAGGAAATAATGAGCTTGTTATTGAAGCCTTTAAAATGTTTAACTGTGATGTCAAATAAATGGGAAAATCATCAATTTGTAGGAAAACGTTGCCTGCTGTCTGCAGAGATAAATGGACGACTGGTAAAATTACAACACCTGGAGTGTTTATATGTAGAAAGTTTCACTATGACCCACGAGGTAATGAAGACATTGTTAAATTTCCTCACAAAAAAATCAATGAAAGAAATATCATTGTGCAATTTAGAATGCAGTGATCATGATACTTCATGTAGGGGTTTCAACCTTGACCTGTCTCTACATTCACAACTAAGATGTTTAGGATTGAGCCTGATACCTGTGTCACAATTAAACATGGATGTATCGTTGTTAGAGGAATGTGAGGTAGGTGAATTATATAAACCTGGTGTTGTGTCATCTTATCTCAGTCAACTACCAGCAGCCAGTAAACTACAATCATTTAGGTGTAGTTGTCTAGAATCTTCCAGTGACATAGAAACAATGTTACAAACATTATCATTGTTATATCATGTGAAAGATGTTAGGTTGTATAGAATCAATCTAGGTGAAAGATCATTAACACTGTCACCTCAAATGATCAATATTGAACGTGTTGACTTGTGGTATATAACAATGTCTTGTTCAGTGTTATATGATCTCATTACTGTTATAAACAAACTACCACATACAGTGACAGTATATATGGAAGGTTGTGATATAAAACCAGAAACAGAATTTGAAAACTTTAAAACATTTATAAAACAATCAGACAATTTTGTGGTCACCAGTGATGGCACCTTGAAGTCTGGAGTGTACGTGTTTCAGTTTAAAACAACAACAACAAGTACTGAGTAACTTTAAATGTACTTGGGAGAAACAATTTATAAATAGATTATGAGACAAGTGACAAGTGAAATAGACATCATGTTTTTAATTTTAAGTCTGACATTTAATCAATACTTTGCTGTAGATAGATTTAACAGTTTCAAAATGTGAATATGAATGCCTTATTGACACTTATAACCAAACTTTAAAGTATCATCACTCTATATGCTTCTTTATTCATAGCTAGTTGTTTTTACCATGCAACAAGAAAACTGACTTAAAGTTTTACACCTTAACTTGCGTTCAATCCTAGTGGCAGAACCTAATAGAACTTAGTTAGAACAATCTTTGAGAGGACCATATGAAATTAGTTAACATTATATTAAATATATTTAAACTTTCAATCGATTTTTATATTAAGCCGTACGTTTTACCACAAAAAAGAATATGTAATATAAATTGTTCTGTAATAATTTTCCTTAAACTGTGTAATAATTAATAAAATTTTTGGAAGACATATTGTTTTTGCCTTCGCCGTGTGTCTGTCCGTCCGTCCGCATAATCTTGTCCGCCCTTCACAGGTCAGACGCCTTGTGGGATTTCAACCAAACTTGACAGGAGTGATAAGTACTATCCCTTGTTATACACATCAACGGCACATTCGCTTCGCTGCACAAAATGGTTGCCAGAGCTAAAAAAAGAAAATTCTTGTCCGGCCTTCACCTGTCAAATTACTTGTGGAATTTCGAACAAACTTTACAGGAGTGATCAGTACCATCCGTAGTTGTGCACATTACTGGTAGGTTGCGCCTCGCTGCACTAAATGGCCATCAGAGCTTTGAATAGAAAAACCTTGTCCGGCTTTCACAAGTCAATCTACTATTGGGATTTCAATGAAACTTCACATGAGTGACCATACATAGTTTTGGGTGACATATGTTTTTGTGACAAAACCCTTCTAGTTTTAATTAAACTCATTAGGAATAATTATTGGGGATCGTACACAAAATAATTAGAATCAAAACAAGATGGCTGCATTAGCTAAATAATGATAAGAACAACCTCCAGCTGACAGAGCTTGTTTTACCACTTGGCAGTTTAATGAAGCTTAATAGGAAATATTATTGGAGATTTGTTTACAACAAATAGCTAGAATATGATAAAGAAGATCAACAAGGGAAGGCGGCGTTCAATGAACGCAGCCCCAATATGAACCAGTGGCAAGGAGCCCAGGCGGCCTCATTTTGTTCTGCTAAATGAAAGATCCTGCAAACTGAAACTATCGTTTTAACAACATCTGGTAATTAACAATTGGACAGACTTTGATATAACTTAACAAGAATACTTTTCTTTTGTTCTTTTAACATACATAAATGGTTTGAAAAGGATCATGTTGTCTACCAGACCTTAAAGTACAACATTGTTTTCCAAATGATTGAAATCACTAAGAAGTTTTCGTTGAGACTGGAAACAAAAATGATTCTTGGAAAGTATTGTACAAAAAAGGTTATTATTTGTACTGTTCATAACAGTTAACAATTGTACTGTACAAAAACAGTTAACAAGTGTACTGTCTGCTGAGCGAAGGTAATTTCCTCTTTAGTTGTTGACTCGGGTTGGAAATTAATTATTGAACAATTGTTGCTGGAATAAAAAAAAATGATTATGTTTTTCCTGGACATAATATATCCAAGAGTTACAGTATTTCATTATAATCATAATTATTATTATTATGTATAAAAACATATGATTTTATATGCTTGCATAATGATTGTTTTAAGATATTATCTATAATAAATCAGTGTTGACACAATGTTATTTGCTTTTATAATTCCACTGTTTTAACCTACATGTATTTTTCATATATTTATATCCAAATGGCAGTTGTGTGCCTTAATTATTACCAGAACTATTTTCCTGTTCAGCCCATTGAAAAGGTAATGTTTGGCTATTGGTTATGTACTACATCATTTCTTTAAAAGTACAAGATCTTGGCATATAACAAAATTGTGTCCCTCTTATTTCCGTTTTAGCACTTTGAGAATAGGATAGCAATTTGGAAATATCTTAAGTGCAACTGGTACCATTGACTTAAAATGATACACACTTATTACCTACTGTATTGTACATGCTGATGACAGGCCGTCCGGTAAGCTCAGTAGGTAGAGCGTTTGACTGTGAACCGGGCGACCCGGGTTCGATTCCCGGTCGGTACAAGATATTTTCGTTGTGCTTGATCATGAAATCCTTTCTACGGTCATTCGCACTGTACCTCTGCTCTTGCATGTATTGAAGTAATCAGTTCCTTGGATTATGAAGACAATATGTATTGGTAAACTGAATGACAATCTGCCCAGAAACGATGCGGCCGCTGAATTTTGGTCTTGTAAATTCAATGTGGTTACTGCCAGGATCCGGAGTGAAAACTATCACCATGCTTATAACATATCTTTTATCTGGTTATTTCCTTCTTTAGCATTGCTTATCTATTCCGATCAGTTGGATATAAGTTTTGTAAGTACTGATAATTGCGCATTAATATATAATTAAAAGTATAACATCTCGGCAAACAACAAATCTGTTGCACAAACTTTTACAAATAATTCTTAACTATGGAATATAATAATCTTTTAAAAGTTGTTTTACCTCAATCATTTCTCCATAATGTATTCTTTACATAAGCAAGACTGACATTAAGGCCAAAAATTTGTGTTTGTACAAATGGTGTATTACAAGTGTACGCGGGAGAAGGACTTTCTCTGTTCGTATCACATGATCGTTTGTGTAACTTACTAAAAGAAATTAAAAAAAAATAGATTTCCAAGATCTAAAAAAAACAAGTATGCAAATGTTAGACTAGATTCTATGTATATGTTAGTGTTCATCCGTGATGTTCTACAGAAATTAGAAACTTCGACTAGCGACAGGAAAATGTTTCTAATTTCTGTATAACAGCACGGATGAACACTAACATATTTAGTGTCAAGCTTTATTTGGCCTCATTATCAGTCACTTTATTACGTCACTATGCGGTTTTATGAAGTACTATGAAAAATAGAAGTCGACTATGGGCGAATTCGATATAGTATCGACTTTTGTTCTTCTATGAAAATTAACGCACAAAAATACAGCGTTTTCATTGGATGACAAATAAAGTTTGACACTAATATTAGTTTAATTGTACATGTATTAAATATTTACAGTGAGCCATTAAATTTGCATAGTTTACTGTACAGAACATATATATAAAATGAATGAAGTGGGGAAAAAAGATTGGTAAACTTCCGAGAAATAAAAGCAACGGCTTACCGCAATGATTTTCAGAGCGCTTCTGATCGTTTAATGGCATTTATGACGTCAGAACTTCACATGTTTATGTCTTCCTAAAAGTTTGACGTCATGAAATGACGTCATCAACATATCAATAAACAAACACTTGCAAAGTATTGGTTATGTACGTATTTACAAAATTGAATTTAATTTTTGTAAAGACCAATTTAATTTCGTAAATACGTACTAATAAATTGGTTAGGTGCGGCGCGGCCGCGCGACTCCATATAGGTTAAAGTTTATTAGTACGTAGATCTATTAACACAATTCAAATAATAGGTCGGCGCGGTTCGGCAGTGCGATGGTTGTTTTTTCCCCGGATCACGGCAGTAAGCCACAATTAAATTTAACAGAACATAGTTCAGCCACCGCATCATTCCTAGGGCGGATTGTCATGCAGTTTACCGGTACTAGCTGCATGCCTTTACATTCACCAGAAATTGAAACATCTGTACAGGGCAGAGGTACAGTGCGAAAGACCGTAGTTCTAAGGATTGAATAATCAATCCTATCGAAAAGGACTTGCATCGCCTGGGAATAGAACCGGATAGTTAGGCCTTGCCTTATAATAAGCAGACTTCATCGTTATTCAGCAGTGCAATATTTTAACACTTTTGCTTTGTTTTTTACGCCTCAAATGTTTAATCTGTGTTTAGGGAAAAGTTATTTTGGTAATGATTAAATATTTTTCATTTATGTTTTCATCTTCCACGTGTACGTACATGACTTCACAATAAAAAAAAACGATCGCTATTGAACTGGTGAAAATTCTCCAACAGAGCCGTGTTGGCGGGGAACGCTTTAAAGATATAATGTATAGATATAATGTATCTCTTTCTTTACATTTTTTTAAAAACAATATTCTCTTCAAAAACGAATAAGGAACGAAAAAGCATGAGAACAAAGATCAACAAGGCGACATTCATATAAAACTGCCCCCGACACAACAAGCCACACTCGCAGTTTATTCAGAAGGCACCGAACCAAAACATGGAACGGAAACCCGTTTGAGCAAATTTGTTACTGACAAAAATTTAAACCCCTTTTAAATAAAAATTAGTTAAGTAAAAAAAACAAAGGCTATAACCCTTAAAATTAAAATATTCAGCGTTCAAAGAAATAAATAAAAATTTTAAAAATTTTAAATCCCTGATTTTTTTAAAACTTAATCTCTTTTGGGACGGGGGGAGAAAACCCGATGCAAAAAGAAACACTTTTTTTAATAAAAAATGGTTATTTTAATGTTGGAAATTTCCCTTTTTTTGTTATTCGCTGATAGAAAAAAAAAATATTTATAATAAGTTTTTATAGAGGTTTTTAAAATTTAAAATTTTAAATTAGCACTTTCATTAATAAAATTATATGATATTTTGAAATTCATAACATTTTTTCCCAAAAAGATAGAAAATCCCGTATGTAAACAAACGTGCTTAAAGTTTTAAAAAATAAATGTAAAAGTTTTTTGAGCGGGGAATGATTTTAAAGAATAATTATGAATTTTGTTTTGAAATATGTAATTTACTTATACAAATATTTGACGGGGCAGGTTTCATAGGACAAAAAAGGAAATGATCCTGTATGATACAAAGATATATTTTAAGCTACATGAAAGTAAGTTTTATATCTTCACTGGACATTAAATGTAAAGATACATTCAAGGTGAATTGTTCTCTTCCGTCTAGAATAAAGATAAGATAAAACAGACAAAACCAAGCACTGTTGCTTAATTGAGAACTTATTATAATAAAATAACAAAATATAGTAAATGAATGGTTCGTTTTATTTTAAAAAAACGCATTTGTAACGTATTGTTTGAATGCTACAGCGACAATTTAGGGATACATAAGTTCTGATAACATACATATATACTACTCGTGGAATAGGTTCGTCAAAGTTAATGAAGGAAATAAAACATAAAGAATAAAATTAAACACAATTAC